ATATATGAAGACTTTTCATCCAGCCTTCCATGCAGAATGGATCAGTAATAAAGTTGTCACGTTTTAGTTTCTCGCTGGTAAGAAAAGCGATTCTCGTAATTATATTAATTGCTTTGTTGATGAATCTCTGATAAAAGACGGATTCTTTAGGAAGCGTTCCTCCGGATAATGTGTGCCAAGAATTATATCTAGATTATATTTCAACAAACCCAGTTCTCTACCACATCTTGACGCTGGTATTGTATGTTATTTCTGTTTTGACGCTGATTGGATTATACGGCAGGCTGTTGATGCATATGTATCGCCGAGCTCACCGTCTGCTCGCTTCGAGAGCTTATATTCTGCGAGAATCGCAGCTGTCCCAACAAACCTCTTCCACATCGAGTGACAGCAGTACCAGTGTTTTCCAAAGTAATGAATTCCGAGCAAGCCGAATGTATTTCGCCATAACGCTAACCGCAGTTATCCCGGTTGGACTGCATTGCATCTTTCGTTTCATGATGGGAGCCTATGTGCAAGTGTACTTCGAAGGTTATGGAACAACTGTTTACTTCATCATGTTTGCCAGCTCGCTTCTCAGTCCAATTTTGCTGTTTTGCTTTAATCGTAATTATCGAATCGGGCTGCAGTTGACCTTTGCCAGACTAAGATGTTTTGTATGCTGTGCGTCTGATATGAAAGAACTGACACCGGACACCGCTAACTGGGATGAAAGGGCACTGGCTCTTGAAAGCAGCTGAACACCGTTATATTATTGCGATTGCTGCTCTGAGCTGGCTGGTCAAGTTTGCTTGTAAATGTCCATCTATCAAGCGGAAGTGTAATTCAACTGGTGCTTTCCTTGTGAAAGCTGCCGTATTCCATCACCAAACTACGGAACCTTTATTTTGTCACCAACAACAACATCGGACCATCATGTATCATCCCAACTCAACGTCGAATCCTCAAATCCGGCAAGAAGAACGACTGAAGCAGTATGTGCATAACGTGGTGTATGGTACTGTTAATGTTAACTCGAATACTATAATTTCTTCTAATACTTCTCGCATGAAAATTCTCCCTCCTAAATGGTATAGATTACATCAGTCCGCACCGGTACGTTTTCATTCTTTCCTTGGTGATTTCTGCAGTCAACTTACTTCAGCTTGTGATCTTAGTATAAGGGCTCCACACGAGTGTCTCGAACTATCTTCATGGGGTGTAGCTGAATATGCATTATCTGTTTTACAGTGTCAGCAGTCGCAGGGTAAATTTTTCAGTAAAAATTTTAAATTTGCAGTGCCGTCAGCGTTGTTAAGAGAGAGAGAGTTTGTACCGAAATAAATAAACTTAAACGGAATAAACGCAGGATGAAAATTTTGAACAGGAGTTTTTTGTTGTCGTATGCGGAGCGATTAAAGTATCTTAAAGCAATCAGGAAAACTCTCTCTGAAAAATTTCACAGCTTCGCTCGAACGCAGAACGTGCTGAAAACGATTCGTGGTTTACTAAGCGGCAGTGGAATTTTATAGATGCAAAATTAAAATCGTCTGTTTCTCCCAGTCCTGATGCTTTAAAATGGTTGATATTGAAAATCATTTTCAAAATATTTGTGATCCTAAAAATCTTTCTCTCTTAATTTTTCGTGGATCAATAAACTGAAAAATAATTCTTTTAATACTGCGTTCGATAATTCGCCTATTCTGCCTTCCGATATTAAGAATATTTTATCACAGAAGGATGCTTCTGCAGGATCCGGGTTAGATGGCATTAATTATTCGTTTCTTAAACCGTATCCGGCTGTTCATATGTTTTTAGCCAACATGTTCAATAGGCTATTGTCAACCGGTACCGCATGCTCTTCGCGGAAAGTGGTAAACTGTGCTTTTGTATAAAAAGGCGACGCCTCTATGCCGCGTAATTATCGCCCAATTACTTTGACAAGCTGTATTGGAAAAGTATTTCATTTGTGATTTCGAAACGGCTAATGTCGTATTGCATTAAAAAATAATATAATTAATACCGATGTACAGAAGGGGTTTGTAGAAGCGACTAACGGTTGTGGAGAACATTCGATGAAGCTGCTGAAATTGATAGAGCAGCAACGGGATAAAAGGCGGGCAATGCACATAACCTGGCTGGATGTTGCTAATGCGTATGGGTCTGTCATCAGGAAGGAAGTGCTTCTGGCTGCACTTCGTCGCTATAATCTCCTCAATATTTAATATCTTATATTGATAATTACTATACCGGACTTTCTGTAAAAAATTCAACATAGTAATAAATTTTCTAAACCTATACCGTTTAACGTAGGTTTATTTCAAGGTGACACCATGAGTTGTGCATTGTTTATTATTTTAATTGTATCCTTGAATATCTCGAAGAAAGTAAAAAATAAAAAATGCGGAATAGCACTTGATGCACTTCCAGGAAAAAAATTGTCGGTATGGCTTTGCAGACGATTTAACGCTTATTTGCAATAACAAAGCCAGCATGAGCCGATTAATCCGTGATGTGAATGGGCATATGAATTCTATTGGCTTGACTTTAAATGCCGACAAGTGTCGTTGCTTTTCTCTTTCAAATGGCATTTCGTGCGAAACGGCGTTCGAAATTAATGGCGTAAAAATTCCGGATATATCGAGTGATCCTATGAAATTTCTTGGTGTGCACGTTTTAATAATAAAATCAATCTGTTAACAGTGGAAACTTAGTATACACGAGTCTGGAATCTTTATTGCAACGAGTGGATAATCTGAAATTACGTGCCGTGTATAAAGTTAAAATTTATGATGAATACATTGTTGCTTGTATGAGATTTGTGTTAACAATGCATGACCTGTCTCCAGCAGTCGTTAACTCACTGGAAGCGCTTGTTAATAAATACATAAAAAAATGGTTAAATATTAATGTATCTGCTAACTGCGATTTCATGTATGTACTGGGTGGGATGAATTATAAGTCTCTGAAATCAGTGTATGCGCAATCACACGCTGCCTTCGCAACGGACGCGCTGTGTTCTAATGATCCTGTTGTGGCACAGATTGCGAGTGATAACTTAATGTCGGCATGTTCTAATAATGATGCTATTGTAGACATTGTGCAAACTTCTATCGAAACCGGCAGGCGAGGGGGGGGGCAAACAAGTCAGCAATTAGAAAGCTTGTTAATGGAAAAGTAAAGCAACATGTTTCGGCGTCGAGAGAAAATCGGATCGAAAGCTTGATACAGCAGGGAGCGTGGCAAGAAATTGTTAAAGCCGAGGTTGTAGATGCACCGTGAAAATCAGTGCTGTACGATTTGTCCGAGAATGTGGTGACTTTTATGATCGAATCGGCTCTCGATATCTCTCCGTCTTTCACCAATTTGCTTAAATGGGGAAAAATCGTTTCAGCTAACTGTGATTTATGTGGGGCAGATAAAGGATCTCTGTCACATCCTCAACAGTTGTTCGGTGTCGCTGAACAGCCATCGGTACACCTGGCGCCATAATAGCATTGTTCAAGCTATCTTTCGTTTCTTGACTGGTGCGGCTGATAAAAATAAATGGGAAATTTTGTCTGACCTAAATTCTGAGAATTACGAAAGTCACAATAACACTATCCTCTTGATGTGCTTCCTACCTCTGTGCCCTGATCTATGCTGTGTTAACCGCGGAGAGAAGCGTATTATTTTAGCTGAGGTAACCATTCCCTTTGAAACCGTGCAAGGATTTGCCAACGCGGAGTCCAGGAAGCGCTGCCGTTATGCTCCTCTGGTAGACCAGCTAACCAGTGCTGGATGGCAGACCGACTACTATCACCTAGCCATCGGCTCAAGGGGAATGGTTGCCCGTACTGCCGTGACCGGCATCGCCAGAATTGCCACTACCATCCGGCAAACTGCGAAAGCGTGCCAAACGAAGCAGCTATTGAATAACTTAAAAGTAATTTCCTAACTTGTTCTTATGTTATTTTCCTAAATAAATCGAATAAAGAGTGGAGTGTACCACGCCCGAACAACCTGTTCACTGTTAATGCACGTTAGTCGTTCTTGCTTGCCGGTCGATCTCAGCACGATCGTCATTGATGCTGTTATTGTCCTCAGTCTCGTGTCTCCGATGATGGTTGTTGTGACATGGTGTTCCGTTACAATTTACCTTATTGTGATATAAGAATTAAGATATGTACAGTCGCAAAAGAATAAGACATTTTTGTTTTTTAGTTTAGTCGTCTATGCTTTCCTTTACTCCATTTCTTTTAGAAAATTTTAGAAAAAAAAATTTTTCAAACAAACTTAAATCTAACATTAATTAAGCATCGGAGGTTTTGGGTTTTAATGCCGGGAGACTAAACGCTGTAAGTAAAGAAAGATGTATATTATGTAACTGGATTATGAGCATAAGAAATAATGTACTGTCCTGTTCTTTGCGCGACTATGTTCTTTTTTCCTGGATAGGATTTCTCCATGGATGGTCAGGCATGCACGCCTGAAGAGGGAGCAATAATGTACTGTCCTGTTCTTTGCGCGACTATAGGATTTTCCTGGATGTAAGTAATGGTCAGGCATGCACGCCTGGATAGGGAAGAAATCGCAATAAAGGTTGTATTTTTTTTGAAGCTCTGCTTGGAAGCGATGCATACCCGCGTTTTTTTAATTTGCCAGCTGTTGTTGCTAAGATAATATTATGCGAGACAGTGAGGGCACCTGTTTACGATCTTTGCCACTCAATAAAACAATCGTTAGAATTAATCTAAAGGTGTACAAGTTCACCTAAACGTCTGATACTTTTCTTATTTTGATGTCTATTGATATAACTCTTTTCATGGAAACTGTATATGCTGCACTATAAAATAACAGAATGTTGGCTTCACAAAAAAATTTTTGCTTGCTTGTAAAAATATTATTGCTTGAAAATAATATTTGTCGTTGAATTTTTTGCTGCAATAAATAAAAAAATTTAATAAAGCGAATTGCATTTATTCTGCTGATGGGCAAATTCGTGTCTTAAAAAATGACACCACTGTGACACTGTCGAAAAAAGAGGCAAATATTCTCCGGTAGCATCAACTGCGTTTAAAGCTGTATTCTGCAATGAAGCTGACTTTCCACAATTTAAATAAACACATTGTTTAAGAGAACAAGAAGTTCACGAAATATTCCATTAATTTTATCAAATACAAAACTGTAGTATTTATCTTGAACTCAAGTGAAATTACGCCAAGTAGTGCATGCACGAAATATTTTACCACTGGCTAGTCCAGAGAGCATTCCGAATCTTGATCGCTCGAATGCGAATCTGTCAGGGTCCAGTCGTCTGACAAATCCCGGGTCTCCGCCAATTTGTGAGAATACATCACTGTCATTAATACCAAATCAGCTGCATTGAATTCCGCCACCACGTCTTCTCTGCTTAATCCTGCGACAAGCTGCACCGAAAGAGACAATTGTACCGAATAACAATTTTAAAGGTTACACAATATAATTAATAAATTAAAGGTAATTTTTAAAGGTTACACAATATCGTTTAGTATTTACTCGGAAAACATACTAATATAGCAACGCTTTTGCGTCATAACTTGTAATTATTTCAAGTGTTACTGTACCTTGTTGTTAACTTCGAGAATAATGTCGTTTTTATGTAGAGGGAGCTGCTGGCGCTGTATGGAGGTTACCACAAACCGGGCCTCATCGGAATCTTGTACAGAAATGACGGTGAACCCAAAGCCCAGACGCCCGTTCTCCTTAACGATCTCCACGCTACGGGCGTGTTCCACATCGTGCAGGTCCAGCTTCTCATGACAAATTGGACAACGACTCTATAGACACATCACATTTTTGCGTTCCTCTAAAAATCTTTGCAGTATAGTAGCGATGTTGCAAACTGAAAGCGATGAAGTGCAACTGTTGAATCACTTTATGCAGATATGCACAGATTTAAATGCATCTAAAAATGTTTTTCGTGTTTACAGGTGGTGAAATGTAAAATGCTGAAAATAAGCCCATTGAGCATGTGCAATACTGTCTGACTTGACCTTTTCAGACGCCGGCTGTTCTGTCGTTTCCTGAGTCAGCGGTAAAATTCCGTTTCGCGAGCTCATTGATGCCTCTGTTGCACTACCACTGCCATCTAAAATATCATAACTGCCAAGTTCTGTGTTTAGCATAAGTTTAACGTAATACAGAATTCACAAAATGTAGAGTGTAGATAATCATTAATGTTGCTGCTTGTCGCCTACCACTCTGGCTGGTGCCGGACCTCTAAAAACACACAGACAATAATGTAATATGGCAGAGTACAAGAGTATCGGTATGATCGATGCATAACAACCCTTCAAAAACAGCAACTGGATATTCTTAATGAAAATCAGAGTGTTTATACAACTCAATTGCTCACTATCTACTCTAGTTAATATACGTAATTAAAGCTGTGTAGATGTGCCAGTGTCATTGTCCAAATTCGGAATCACTGTATTTATTTTCTGCCAACGAAGGCTTGTTGTTTAGTTAAATACAGTACTTATTGTCGTTTAAACCTTCAGGCACCAAAACTGACCTTGTTGAACATAGCTCGAAGGAAACCTTTACCCATTGACAGGGCAAAGGCGCCGATGGCCACTCCCATTCCTAGTCCAACGAAGCACGTGGCCATGCAGCACATCATCAGAACTTTGGTCTGCAAAATTCCATAAGCTACGGTAGCCGGCATAACGTTTTAACTGCAAAACGCTTCGTACCAGTACTGGGCGAAGTAAGCTTTTCGGTTGCTATTTTTAAAAAAATACCCAGCGTATGGACTTCATGTGAGTACAGAAACCGATTTTCCCACGAGGCATTACGCTTACACTTCAGCGTTCTTATCTACAGCACTAGACCAAAATAGTTACGAACTGTAGTTAGCAACGGTCTGGCGATCTCACCTGGAAAAAATTGACGTGCCAGTGAATAGTAAATCGTCTTGCTCTGCCAACCAGATAACCAACTGCGACGCCGCACAAGAATGTCGGCAGGTAAAACCGTACATACATCCACCACTGCAATTTTCTCAAATTTTAAAATATGGATGGGTACACGTATGAAAAAGCGAAATGCTAATGTTATGCTTTACTTGTCGTACCGAGCTGTCGGGATCCTCGGTAGGCGACGGCAACGGTGGAGCAGGGCATTCAGGGAGCATCAGATGCGAGTCGCCAGCCATCCTTGAAAGAATTCAAGTGAAGAAAATTCTTCTATAAGCAAACAACAGCGAATAAACACATTTGGAGGCTCTTATAAAAGCGCAAATTTGGATGTTTCCGTTCTGATTAACCGGGTAGAAATCCGTTTAACTCTGCGATAACAATCAGCGTACGAGATCGTCGGCTCTAATCTACCTCTGAATGTAGTTTAGTTCCTTCGCTGCTAAATGAGCTATAATCAGTTTTTAAAACGCTAATGCTTACATCAAAAATATTTGTAGTAGATGTGATAAAGCAAAACCATTTCGCTCCCCGAATTTTAATTTTAGGCAATTTAAAATTAATTTTGTCTAATTACAACAGAGGAGTTGAAAGATATAAAATTAACCTAATAATCCATTGCACGAAGTTCTGGTACGCAAACTTAAATTATTACTTACCTTACATCCAAATGTGGACGGTCTCTCTATCAGCAAAACAACAGCTTATGTTCTGCCAGGAAAATTTGAACTAATCCATGGTTAGTGGAAAGAATAGTGGCAGCAAAATAAAATGCACGCTGCGGATATTGCGGCTGCTGATTCACACCGGCGCTACTCTTTTCCAGCGGTGCGCGTAGATCCAGCTACACGCAAGCTAAATATAAGCACCATGGTAAGAAAGATGCCGGCAACTGTACGGGAATCTGTACATCAGAAAGCACAATATTGCGGAAGTATAGCAAATACACATTACACAGCAGTAAACTGCACAGCTAATCTGCTAGGCGCCGGTAAGAATTCCTTTCACAGTACGGAACTCATATTGATTGACACGGGCTTCTCCAGTAGGTACTCGCGCAGCACCGCAGGCATTTATGCCTAAATGCGTGACTGCAATTACTACACGATTGTTCTTAGTGTCCTATCATCTGGGATGCGAGTAACTAGTGTGCCGTACTCTAGATTATCGCATGTTTGTTATTCGGTCACCTCATTGGCGGGATCAACTGCAAATCGATGAAAATCAGAATCCCGGCTAACCACGGTGCCCGGCCTGTTCGTTTTGCCAGAATATCCATTTATATTTGTAACCAGAATTCTAATGTCATCACTTAACACTGCTGCTGTTCAGCAGACTTCTTCCTGTTAGAGTGCCAGGCCGAGAGGAATAAGGTTCACGTGCGTTACTTTTGTAAGGTGTTTAATGCGGTTCTTTGCCACGGGCTGCTCATGAGAAATGAGGGCAGTTACTAAGGAATTAATTATAGCGGTGCTGTGTGGCAAGTGTGAGCTTCCCGTAATGCCAGCGATTGACAAAACTTACGCGCTTATGGAAATCTTTTTCTGCAAGTCAGGAAATCGTGGAATTTATCGAGCAGCGAATAGCGATCGTACATCATCGTGCTGTCTCAGCACAATGATGTTCAACTGTTATTCGATACTTGACAATAGAATAAACCTATGGGTCTAATCAGAGCAAAGTTTTCTTATCTGTTTCGGTTCGAATAATTTTGGGCGAGGAGACTAGATTTTCGCATAATTTCCGTTTATATATACTATCTGCATGGTAGTGCTTTTACCGTTAACTGAGTAGCACCAAAAACGTTGCTGTACTAAGCTGCCAAACGTTTTTTATCTCTGTGTTCAACAACGAGCACGTCGTTGAGCGCATGATATGAATGACGGTTACGGCTTTATGGTATAATTGGTATTATGGTTTTTAATGATCTCATCCGAATGTTTTCCACGTTATGTTTGCTGCGCTCCGAAAGAATTAGGAAAGCCGAGCACACCCGAATAGCAAACAATAACAACATCGTGCATTTTTTATGGATCGTGGAGTTCAACAATAATATTCTACGGAATTCGTGAAATGTGATAACTGATACCCCATGACGTTTGTATAAAATATAATTACTGGAATTATTGCACCCCCGGATCACACTAGAAGGTAAACACGAATGCAAAGCGCTATTAAACCTAGTATTAATTTTATCGTGTTATGGAGTTGTTTACAACGCATAAATGTGGCGACGGTTTTGCGTAGCGACGGGAAAACGTGGCGTTATAGGGCTGTCGCAGACGTTTTTACTGCGCGACTGTTATGGTAAAAGTGCGGAAACTCCGGAATTCGTTAATATATAAGGTAGAATGGTAACCATTAGTTCAGACATCGCGAAAACTTTATCCCTGCCGGATTGAACTCTTTTAAACTTCGTGTGTTAGAGCCATTTGGATATTGTTGCGCGTACCGCAACCTTGTTTGGTGGAAGTGATTGTTCTTGTTTTCGCAATGGCAAGATGGTTTATTTTAGTGCTTATTGCAGTGTTGATCGCCGTCGGTGGTCAACGAAATTATGTGGATGCCCGCGGAACCGCTGCGCCAGGGACCATGTCACCACCCGCTACCCCACAACCTGGTACTGCACCCACTTTGCCGCCACCAGGAGCGCCCCCACCAGTGACACCGGCACCGGCACCAACGCCCGCTCCGATTACTACACCAACACCGACTCCGACGCATACACCGACTCCGACGCACAGCTCAACCGCCGACGATTCTACGAGCACAACGACGACAGATACGACGACCGAGGTCACCGATACAACCACCCCCGAATCAGTAACGTGGGAAACACCGACCAACAAGTGTGTCACTTTTTATGTAGAAGGCTATGTTAATGCTGTGGGATTCACCACTGCACAGATTGTGGAGTACGTGTGCAACTACGTTTTCATCACGTATCTTGGACCTCCTCCGCCGCCGGCTTCCTTGTGGGCTGACAAGCCGTGCTGTATCGCCACTTCCATAACCGAGTGTTAATTTTAAGCGTCACGCCCGTTAAAGAGTAAAATAACGCAGGTTATTTGTACAGTCGCAGCTTGTTGTATAAGTTGTATGATTTGTATTTAATTTAAAGTATTTTATTGCAAATTAATCGGAGTGCATGAACTGCTTTGCTTTGCAGTTTGCACTATTTCCGAGCAGATTGTATCCAGCTGTACACTGTATTCATCCTGCTGGCGCTTTAGGTTCCGCCCCGCTGTTATAATAAGCCGATAAACGCAATGTAAACTGACTGTTTCTTCAACTGATTCCCGTACATGCTTTGCGGGTTTACCGGTGAGCCATGGACTGTGGCATACAAAACTTAGATTTCGCAGAAAAATGCACAATGGCTGTAAAACTAGCGGTTTTCGGTGAACTGTGACAGCCCCTACCGCAAAATTGTTTGCAGAATTCCGCAGGTGTTTCCAGTTTAATACTACAAATATTCCAGCGCGTTAACAGATGACAAAACAAATATCAAAAGGTTTCTTCTACACTCTAACTGGATACCGTACTATTATCACCTAAAGGCTGGGTCATAAAAAGAATAAAACCAGGAAGAGCTACTCAAGGCAGAAATGTCCCACTGGGATGTTATGCACTTGTGTAAATGTCTTTCAGCGTTTGCGCCTCCCGCTGCCCGGACAGCAACGCACCGTGTACCGTTGACCAGTACTCCGGGTGTGTCGCTTCTCCGGCAAACATTAATCCGGGAAGCTGCACCGTTTCACCATTAACGTTCCGCTGATACAAATATTCACTGCTCGCCAGATCATCAATGGTCAGTCCTCTCTTAACCATTGCTAGGGATATGTGGCTGTACGTTCCCCGGAAAAGATCATTCTGCGACCACTTCGCCCTGTAGATTTAACATCAGCAATCACTACGCTCAAATTTGAAATTTCATTGCAAACAAAAAGTTTGCATGAGTTACCTTATAATGGTTGTGGGTGCTGGCACGTTTTGCCCAAGGCTTTGCTGGAAAAGTGCAGTAATCGTGCTTGAAATGTCCGAATCGGAGAGCTGCTCCATTTGAACAGCCTGCGGTCCACCCGTTAATATTACCAAAGTTTTTTTGGTTGTGGGGGCCACCAAAAACGAAGCAATGGCTCTTGTCCACGGTGCACCCAGCTGCCGAAGAAAATCAAATAGAACAGCTAAATTATTTTGCTATTAACTCTACAACTAATTTAACAGGTATTAATTCAGCCAGCTTACGTAAGTTTTATTTGGGTCGATACTGAGATCATTGCCGGTGTTATACAAATACGTCCAATAATCCAACGTTTTATCTTCCCACCACGGCGTATCATACACCAGATGCAACTTTCCCAAAGTCCCAAAACCGGCACTTTGGATCGCCAAGCGTTTACGATCTGACAGCGGCCGACTGAACATATCGTCGAGATGCGCTTTCAGGTGTCCTAGGGACGCTGTCAGAATTACGTGATCCGCGCTAATTTGTGCGCCCGACGACAGAACAACTGTCATCGGTTTGGTTGCGGAAGGGTCAAAACGGATTTGTTGGACCAGTGAATTAAACTGCACTTTGGTAACGGCGTCGGGCGCCCACAGGTTCAACACGTTAGTGTAAGGCACGTTTAGGTCAGTGGAGTCTGGACCTTCGATGGTGATGTTGGTCGCTGATTGGACGCTAATGTCGAAGAAGTTGGCGGCTCCGTAGTCCTCTTTTTGTTCTCTATCGTGACCAGGTTATTATGCCTTCCCCAGTAAATTAATAAGTTTATCTGCGCCGTTGCTAACCTGACATAAGCATCGAAAACTTGTTCCGCCGCTGAACGCTTATCGGCGGAAACTGTTTTTAATACAGTCTGGTAGGAGTTCATCAGATGTTGTCCGAAAGATAAGTCCTTCTGAGCGAGTAGCGAGTTGAATTGCGAATCTTCCCAGACTGTATCGTCAATGGCTCCATAAATACGAATACGCGACGGCGAATCGCTCACCTTTCCGAAAAAATTTGACTGCAGTCTTCAACAATGATAAACAGTTTTTGAACTTACCGCAGTACCATCGGCATTGAGTAGTGTAAACATGTTGTCAGTATCACTGACGCGAGCGAATATCTGCCGCTCATTGTCCGTCGCCAGTAAGCCATTTGCCTGGGCAAGATTATACAAAGGTTGATTATTGCCATGCACCCACTGGCCTCCCATTTCGATCCATCCTAAAAGGGCACACCGTCAAATGTATGATGATCTTGGAAAACAAAAGCGCCTTGACCTTGAAAAGAAAAATGCACCTTGTCCGGTTTGGCTAGGAACACTCCACAGCCGTCCGCCGTAGCGATTGGACGCCTCCAGTAGGGTGACGCTGAATCCGGCTGTGATTAGGTCTTGTGCCGCGCTGAGTCCTGCTGAACCGGCGCCAATAACGACTACATTGACACTGGATGTACTGGGGTCCGGGAGTGGGTCGGGTTCACTCGTGGCGAAACAGGAGGCTCCTACAAGAAATGTGATTCTAGTTATTATACTGCCTATGGTTAATTATTTACGTGGCTACACTAATTTGTGTCTCAGCCTTTATTGTCCTGTGGTTGGTACAATTCAAGATCGTCAATACATGTAGTTCACAATTTCACGAAAATAACCAAACAAAGTGCTACGTAATTGACAACAAGGCAACATTTGGCGCCGCAAAGGGCATGCAAACCTGCACATTCACATCACAAGGGGCCTAAAAAAAAGAGATAAAGTAGCAAAAGCTGATTGGACAACTCCGCCCTCCGAATGCCGATGGCGATGGCAGAATTGCACAGTCTTTGATGGAATGAAACCTCCTCGATGTAGGCGCACACGGCAGCATGGATGGAGGCACCGCGTCGTGTGCAAAACGCAAAGTGAAAACGATGCTGCGTGTAATACGGATGATGCCGTCTCAGGTCTTGGCTTACCGGATGTTGTTAACGTCAAAGTATGGAAAACCAGCCAGATGCTTCTGCTTTATGGTGGGCCATATCAACGGTCGACCGTTATTCCAACAGCGGCGTCGTATATCAACAGCCTATAAAATTGCAGGAAAAAGGAAGATGCAGAAGATATGCTTCCATAATGAATCTCATTACCCGATGGGCAAGCTCTGGCTCTAGATATACTATAATTATACCGGGCGCGACCTGCTGACCTACTTTTAAGTGTTTTATATGGAACTCTTCTTCTGAATCAAGTTGGTCGACTGAAATCCAAACCTTCAGGTTACAGACAAAACAGAAAACCGGCGCAACTCCTGCAAATACTGCGCACTCATGTGTTATTATGCAGCAAACAGCCAAAACATAAAACTGAAAAAACACAACTTTCACAACAACTCACAGAGACCTAGAAATGGAGGAAACCTAAGAGCCGAGAGCCTGATACCTGAAACCTAAGAGCCTAAGAACCTAGAGCCTAAAGAACCGGAGAACCTAGAGCCTGAGAATACAGAACCTAAGAGCCACAAGAACCTAAGAGCCTAAGAGCCTAAGAGCCTAAGAGCCTAGAACCTGAGAGCCTAAGAGCCTGAGAGCCTAAGAGGCCACAGAGCCTGAGAGCCTGAGGCCTAAGAAACCTAAGAGCCTAAGGAGCCTGAGGCAGAAGCCACAGAACCTAAGAGCCTAAGAGCCTAAGAGCCTGAAACCTAAGAGCCTAAGAGCCTAAGAAACCTAGAAACCTGAAACCCTAAGAGCCTAAACCTAAGAAACCTAAGAAACCTAAGAGCCTGAAACCTAAGGAAACCTAGAAACCTAAGAAACCTAAGAAGTTTAGAAACCTAAGAAACCAAAGAACATTAAAAAGTTAAAAGAAATTAAAGCTGGTGCAGTCTACACCACTCCTCGACGACAGCTACTGGATGCTACATAAACATGGACAGACTTGCTTGGAGTGCACTGCCAGAGCATGCTTATTGCTTGTTTTGCAATTTCAAATTTTTTTTTCTAGTTGTTTTTGGGTTTCCTCACTCAAAAACATATATATAAGCATAAAAAATTTCTATGCGTGTTTCAATCAAAAACGGTCAAAATTTTTTTTCTAGAGTTGTTTTGGGTTTTCCTCACTCAAAACACATATAAATATAGCTAAAAAACATTTCTATGCGTGTTTCAATCAAAAACGGTCAAATCGGCTGCGCCTGGTAAAATACGATATCATCAAGCTGGATATTTCTAATTAAGAGCGCCGCGTTCAAGTAAAAAAACTCATACTTTGGCAAGGAAAAAGCAGTGGGAAAATAGCGAGAAAAGGGGTACAGAAAAGTTCTAGATTTATTGGCCGTTCGGTAGCTGTGCAGGCCAAGACTTGATTCGGTAGCTGTGCAGGCCAAGACTTGAGGTAGCTGTGCAGGCTAAAACTAGACTAGTATAGCCACATAAGTAATTAATCATAGGCAGCATAATAACCAATTATTAAGAACATGAGCTAGTAGAAACAAGGAGGCATAATAAATTCAAAATTTACTTTTTTAAAATAAATACCTTGCTGTTTATTGTCCGTAGTCGGCGCAGCATGAAGGCTACCTTGTTGCAATACATAAAAGAGAAATTATTCGTACGAAGCAAGGCACTAAGCAAATTACGATACAATTATTGCCTACTTATATTTATTAGAACTACTTTGCTCTTCACGGTTGTGCTTACGACTTACAAGGCTGTTCTCCGTCCTAATAAAAGAATGTTGTACAGACACGAGCTACCGCGTTTTTCTGTGCACTTCTACCACAAAAACTCATGCACAAATAAGTGGGTACAATTTTAGTCAACACTCGATGTACTTCTTTTTCACGGATAGAATTGTGTCAAGAGTAGGTAACAATTTTCAGACACTTGCAGATCTGAGACCAACGTTCGTTAATCATAGCAAGAGACTGCAATCAAAACTGCATCAAAAGATATCGGACATAATGAAGTACCCTTGATCTCATGGAAATAACTATGACCGTGAGGGGAACTAGGAGCACCTTTTCGCAATATAAACACAGAAAACTTTAAAGCTGCTGAAGTGAACTGCAGATGACCTTGACCTTAAATTATCTTATTCATAAAACCTTGAAAAAAGTATTTAACTGTAGAGAAAAGGGAAACTATTAAATATTCCAATAAAAGTCAACTAGGCGCCGATTGTAGTTGCTCCAGTTTGACGTAACTCTCTTTGCGCTTCTGCAACAACATCACTTATACGAGCCTGTTGTTGTGTCACTTGCTGCATTAACCGCGATTTTATATCCGTCTCTGCCGACACAGCCTGCTGTAACAGCGCCTGCATTGTGGCATTCTGGTGTTCCGGTGCCACTGTGGCCAACGATGAGAGCCCAGCCAGCTGCGTATTAATGTGCCGGCTGTGGACATCCAAATACATTCCGGCCATTAGCCGCAAAAAGTACGCCTGGGACAAGATCCCATTGGCGTCGTCCACTACCAACGCTGAAATATAATTCCGACCGGCAGCATCCATGCCCGTGGCACCTGCCAGCGCTACCGCATCCGCCAATGGCATGATGGAATGCTGAACCGCCTTATCCACTTGTTGTGTCATTCGGTCGAAGAACTGCACGAGTGACGCCCAGTGGTAGCGTAACTGACTCATCACATTGGCGGCTTCTTTCAGCATCTTGATGATTTCGTCAAAACGGACTGTCCGTATGTCGAGAGTCGCCAGGCGTCCGATGATGTCGTAGTATGCTCGATACTCGTTCAGTCGACTATTAAAGATCTCCATCTGGGTTTTGGCTAATTTGTTGGCTTTTTCCATCGCTAAAAATACCTTGAGTTTCTCGTTGGCAAATGGTCCTTTCTGGTTCGTCAGTGATTGCGTTCTGGAATGTGTGCTAACCGCTCCTTGCTGTTGCCCTTCGGCTTCGGCGTATAGATGCAATGCGGCCATATTCAACTCGGCAATGTCCTTCTTGATGGCAACGCCTTCCGAAATTGTGCCGTTATTTAGCCGGTCCACAATTCCTTTGGCCTTCTCTATGAGATCACGAATGCGCTGACCCTGTACCGACGCAATACTGCGCGATAACGCCTCTAAAACCGTTTTGATTTTTCTCGAAAACTCGTCGACCGCTTCAACGGCCGACGAAGCCGGTTTTTCGATGAAATTGCCTATGGAGGACACAATGTCCAGGACTTGCGAGGCCTCTTTGTAATCGATCGTTTGGAGACGAAGACCGTTGGCTGCACCAGATGCCGTTGCTGTCGGATCCCCTGGTGGCTGTTTGCCGGCCAGAAAAGACGAGATAATCCCCGTAATTCCCTTAGTACCGCCGGCCACTATGGGGATTACGGTTTCTATGGTTCTGACCAGAGCGTTACCCAATAGTAGCCCTAGTGCTTTCCAGCCCGTTGGCAGATCTTTAATGGCTTTTGCGTAATCGGCATCAGCTTGGCGCACCTGCAAATAAGAAGACGATTCATTTCTGCACCTTGTCTTTTTCGTGATTCTGATCAGGCCGCGTGATCAAACACAGGGCGTAGTAACCAACATCCGCTAGACAAAAAAAAACCAAGTGAAACCTACGAGGGTGCGACAGCCGCACACTCGCATTATCACTGAAGGATCGCTCTTGCTAAACGACAACACTTCTATACCTCCTCGTCTATTTCGCGCTGTTTCTTTTCGAGCTCTTGAATCTGCCGGTCGGTGGCGTTTTTCATGATTTCATTCTGCATTGACTCCACCTCGGCATTCCACAACTGTTTGTCATAATCCCCCCGGCAAGCCTGCACGGCTTCCGCAATCTCGCCGGTCAGATTCATGATCAAGCCAAACTTATCAGCGGTACCCTGGGCTCGTAACGCCGCTTTTTCTCCAGTGGATCGAATTAATTTCAGCGAAATGCTGGTCATATTCGACATAATGGATATCGGAGCGGACTTCAGTATCCGCACTATGGTACGCAGGTGTATGGGCACCTGTTGCATCTCAGACTGCAGGAAACTCATGGTTCGAAATGCATCATGGAAGGTATCCCACGCTTCGGTGGCCAGCTGCACCAACGAGGCGCGTAGCGACGATGGGTAGCGGATAAAGCGGTATCCCCCGACGGGCGGCCGCTCAGCCAGGGAGACATCGGTTTTGGAACAAATGACCAGGAGTTGTCCCATCAAGGCGATGGAAACCGGCGCTGGACCGAGATAAGCTTCGGGAAGGATGCGCGATTCCCATAGTTGGGCGCTCTGATTAAATGAGACTTCTGACACTAGTAGTTCGCTTCCTATCAAAAATACAGTATGTTCGTTTCCTGCAAAATTGTCTTCTGACTGTTATCATGTTTCGTTTTTATAACGCTCACAAACTGCCGCTCGACCAAACTTTTTAATAGTATTACAATTTACATACATTCTGATGTTCAGTAATTTTAGATACTTGTATTTGATGATTTTGATCTGACTAGTTGACCATTATGTACAACAGTACAAGTGCATTAGCTGCCTTCATTATCAGTTCGTCCTCCGTAAACGAGAATTGATGTGTTCTATTTGTATGCTTAACTAAAGTGGCAAACCTAATGAAAAGAGCAAACAGGCTCGACTGCAACGCGGATCGACTCGCCACGCGAAACGAATACGGATAAAATTGGATATGCCTTGTTCAAAAGAGGCGTGGTCTCGTATTTCGTTACCCTCGCCCTCGTATTTCGTTACCCAGTGACAAAGAGTGCCGCAAAAGTACGCGGGAATGTGGAGATACTTAATTTTTTACAAGTAGCGTACCTTTTTCAGCTTGTCGCACGTGTCGAATGACGTAACCGCTAGCTGAAAACGCAAAAATCAAACTGGCAAGACATACGGCGGGGCAAACCAAAAACTGCATGATTAGGCTGACAACCGGGACACTTCTTTGGGCGAAGCTGTAACTATCACGCTTTTGTGATTAAAAAGACAGACTATGACGTTTAGATCTGACACCGTAAATCTTATACGCCATAGCTTAGTAAGCTACTGTTTTGTGGAGATGTCTGGGCACTACAACATCTGCGTACAACATATCCGGCTAAGTTCAAGTGGTTTTACTACTGGCAATGACCACGTCGGGCGTGACATACGGCAGTTGAACTTTTAGCGAAATATGCAGTACAGGCATTCCTTATACTAGTACTCAAAATTCAGAGAAGAAAATATGCAGCTCTTAGCTTTTTACAGCTATATCATCACATTTATCAGTAAAAGACATTTTAATGCATCGTCTATCGACCGCACAAATGCACAATCATCCAGAAGGTTTTTTTGATATCTAATGGTCGTCTTCGTAGCACGGCAATGAAGGCGGGTTGTCTACGGACGGATGGTACAGATGGTAGTATCTTAAGACGCCAAACGTAAGTGATGTATAGTTTTAATTTGTAATTAACACTTACACTTATGGCCGTTAGAGTAGACTAATAAGAAATAAGCTGTTCTATGAATAAGTATCACAGGCGGCTGCATGTCCGTCATTTAGTATTTCGGAAAGGGAGAGTGGGTGGTCTCCCGCCATGGCACCCGGTGCGTCAGCGCTAAACTGATTGCGCTCGTTGCCGTCTATTGGTCGCAATGTTTCATAGATTTGGTACGACAGTGTTTTGTCAGCGGAAATGAAGGCATGGCTTATAAATCTAAAATCACAGTACTGTGTCTATGACAATAGGTACAACAATATTCCTGCGCTGTTACAGTTTAGAACCAACGTATGCATTTTCCATTAAAATTCCAGGGGTTTTTTTCCAGCTTAATTTTCTTTTCGGCAACTGGCATCATGAAAGTGCATTTATACGTACTCATCCTCGCGTCCCTCTCCTCCGTACGAGGTTAGTATGGTCTACGTACTATACAGAATACTGTACTAACGCGGCGCATTCGCTTTCCATGTTCTGTGCATTACCAAATCCTATTAGGCTAAAGGGTATAAAATACTCGTGATTTTAAAACCTTCTTTTTGTAGCCACATTAAGTTCGTAAAACAGATTTCATGAAGTACAGCAGTTATTTAATCTGGACACTCGCGTCCTTATTGACAAGGAATTTCCATGTCAACATTTGCCCAATGAAACGTACTAATATTACTGAATTGTGAGTTTGCATTCTTGGAATTTTTAGGTAGTGATGGGGAAACGTACAAAAACGGTGTTTTGTATTCATACAAAGAAGCTTTGGTTTACTTTGCCGATGCGATACTTCAACCGCTGATCATCGCACCGGTGCCCACAGGACAATATTACACTGGTACGGCTTCTACGGGTTTCAACGCATTTGTATCCAAATACAGGGTTGTTTCAACGCATCCTCATCTGATTGGTGACCGTTGCCCTAGCTTACTGATCAAAGTTGATTACCTTTAAAAAGGTCACCGACTTTATTGTTTTCGATCTCCATTTAGAATTAACCGACGAGCTTAAGACATTTATTCGGAACACAGAAGCCTTCCATGCCAAAATCTTCAATTTAAGCACCGCAGCCGAAGCGGAGAAAACCAAGATGAAGGATGAACTGCAACGGAAAACCATGGAATTCACCACCATTAGCACCGAGCTGGATCAGAAGCAGCATAAATTACAGCGTCACACTGCCGCATTGGAAGGAAAGCACGTCCAGCTGAATAAAGCCAACTACCAACTTCGCCGCGCCAGAGCGGAAACTGCACAGGCGCAGCAGGAAGCCGAGGAAGCGCAACGGGACCTGCAGAGGAAACGCAACTGCATAATTAACAGAAGAAAGCGGTTCATCGGCAAAATTAAAAGGTTCTTCAAAAAAGTGATTAATGCACCGTGTTTTATCGTGCATGATATCTACACCCAGAAGAGAAAGTGGGATGCGGCGCGAGCCCGACAACGTGACCTCGAAGATCGCGTGGACGACTTTGATAAAGTGCTGAGCGAACTGAATGCGGAGTGGCGCGCGCTGCAAAGGCTGGTAAGATGCTGTATTCCGTAATTAGTAATTATCTGAGGCCCTCAATATCCTTAATGGGAATCTGCTTGTAAACATTTGCAGGTGAGTGCAATCAGCGCGCAAAAGCAAGAATTAGAGCATCACCTTTCTTCGATGCGACGCCAACTGCAACAAGAATCTGAACTGTCAACCAGTATCACACTCTTTTATGGGCATATTTCCAGTCTCTTTGATCACTCAAGCAGTCTGCAAAACGTCATCGACAAACTGATTTCCGTCGAACTCGTTATCGTCCCTCTGGAACAAATATCTGGCAAACTAAGCACACTACCCGGCAGTCATGCAGTTAACGAGGAAATCTCCGCGGCTTTAGGCCGTATGAGGCAAAATATGCCCCTACTGAAAAGTATTCTGACGAAGTATCCTTTGTTCTTCCTCAATCATGTTGTTTCGTAAACGAAATTTTACCTGTATTCGTCATCTTCCGCATTCAGTCTCATTTCATTTAAAAATATTACTTTTAAGTTTTAACAGAAAAATCAAAAGCTGCTATGGTCCGGTTACAATATATACATACTTATATGTATTCAATGTATTGTACATACATGCGTCGTAGTACTGCAGCGTAGAAAGGATATTAATTTCTACCGGGTGTAGACGAAACGTAGGTCTCGAAATGTAGGTCTCGCATTTCGGTTTGTTCCTCGCAAACCTTTTGTCCTTGCCGTAAAGTAGTTAGAGTCATTCGCTAGAAAATTCAAATAGCATGACGTTGTGCAGATATGCGCAGATTTAAATGCATCTAGGAATTTTCTTTGTGTATATAGTTGGTGAAATGTATAATGCTGAGCAAAAGTCAAAACTGTATGACTTGACCTTCTAAGATGCCGGCTGTTCTATCGTTTCCTGAGCCAGTGGTAAAATTCCGTTTCGCGAGCTCATTGATGCCTCTGTTGCACTACCATTGCCACCTAGAATATCAGAACCACCAAGTTTTGTGTTTAGCATCGAATTAACGTAAAATAAAATTCACAATATTCACAATAGAGTGTAGATAATTATTAATGTTGTTGCTAGTTGCGTACCACTGTGGCATACAGTATGACAGAGCACGGAATCAACGGTATGATCGATTCGCAACTACTTTCAAAAGCAGCATCCGGATATCCCTAACGAAAACTGCCGTAAACTGTGTATTACACCTTTTAAAAGCAGCATCCGGATATCCCTAACGAAAACTGCCGTAGACTGTCTATTACACCTCAGTTGCTCACTATGTTGTTAATGCAATTAAAGCTTTTGCAGATGTGCCAGTGTCATTGTTCAAATTCGAAATTATTTTATTTTCTTCTGTCAGCACAGGTTTGTTGTTTTTGTAAATACAGATATGTAAAGCAGTTACAGCAAACCTTCAGGTACTGCACCAAAACGGACCTTACTGAACATAGCTCGAAGAAAACCTTTGCCTGTGGACAGGGCAAAGGCGCCGATGGCCACTCCCATTGCCAGTCCAACGAAGCACGTGGTCAATGACCATGCAGCACATCATCGGAACTTTGGTCTGCAAAATTCCCTACGCTACAGTAGCCGGCATACCTTTTTAACGGCAAAACAATTCGTACCAGCACTGGGCGAAGTATGCTTTTCGACTGCTATTTTTATGAAAATATTATATTTTTTATGAAATACTGAAACGGATGTCTGCGGAAATTTGTGCTGGTGAAAAACGGCTTACCGCCGCAAAAACACAAGCAGGCCTGCCAATTTCTGCCTTTGTCAGAAAACTGCCGCAAGAAATCGCTGGTTAGAAATTAATTAAAGCCAGTTTGGCAAATGGTCTCGTTTTATTGCTCGATCCGGGTTGAATCGTCAAACTACTATCGTTCGCAGAGCAACAGAGCCGCAGTCGTCTTATCGCACCCCGGGGAAAACTCTTTCAGTCATAAGACATTGTGATGCATTTCATTGAGCCACCTCAGTAACGGAAAATCTAACATTTTTTCATTCCCGCTGCAATCTTGCAATCTAGAGAATCTTTGCTGCGTTCCCGCATTCAGCAGTAGGTGAAATTCCGTGCAATAATTAACTGGCACAGAACACGGTCGTACAGCTCCAGGTCAAAAGCAGTACGGGTTAATTGGCCGCGACTGATGTGCATGCAAGTTTGTCCATAAAACGACCCGCTTGTAGCAACGGCGTTATGAGTCGTTTTACAGTACTGTAAAAGCGTAACGCAGTGCAGTGGACTATCCTTGATCGTCGGTCGTAGTAGAGCTGTCGCCTTGTGGAGTGTGGGCACTGGGCATCTTGTAGGCGCTATCTTATTATGCCAAGACATAACTCGTTTATGACTTGTTTTACGATACCTTCATCAAAACGTTTTCCCGCCATTTGGGTTGCGCTATTCCGGGATTACAAAAGTGTGCTCCCCGCGACACCAAGTAAACCCGACTTGGCAAGCAAACAACAACAAGACCGTAACTTGTTCATAGACTAGGCGGTTCGATAATGTTTCATGAAAATCTCCAGTTACTGCGCACCTGGATTGCAGTTAAAAATAAACACTTAACCAGACAAACACACACTAAGCCATGGGAACCGTGTGTGTGCGGTTGTTTATACCGCATTAATCTGACGCTCGCTTTGTACACAAAGTGAGAAGAATGATACCACAGTAGGTATCAGTTATCACACTGTGCTAAACGATTATCACACTTTTTATTGCACGGTTATTACGATAAAAGTGTTCCAATAACAGAACAAAAACTTATTTCTATATACTGTATAAAGGGAAACTTGTTGGCATCTGGCTCAAGCTCGTATAGGATTTTCACCATTTCACTGTTTTATTTTTGCTGTAGTTGTTATATGAATTGATGACCTTTTCAGAACCATAAGAATGATTATTTCAACAATCGTCACGGTGCTGTTTGCAGTCGGCAGTCAACATCGTTAAGTTGATGCCCGCGGAACCGTGCTCCCGGGAAGTGTTACACCGCCTCAAACCGCACAACCGGGCACGGCACCCCCTTTGCCGCCACCAGGAGCCCCCGCACTAACAACTCCCGCACCAGCGCCCACACCTGCTCCATCCACAACACACACTCCGACTCCAACATACACACCGACTCCGACCCATACAGCACCTCCTGACGATACCACGACGCCAGATACACCGACCCCAGATGATTTCACCACGACGACGACGACAGTTACAACGACGGACACCACCGACACCACCACGACCTCCCAACCCCTGGTGTGGCTAGATGGACCCGGCACCTGCGTCACGTACTATGTGGTAGGTTATGTCGGTGCTATCGGATTACCTAGTGCGCAGATTGTGGAGCAGGTGTGCAAGTACATGTTCATCTTTTACCTGGGTCCTCCTCCTCCGCCGACTTGTTTCTGGCCAAATCAGCCGTGCTGCTTCGCCACCTCCTTCGTCTGTACCACAGGATGAGTGTTATTGGTTGGTCAGGAAGCTGATCGAAGCAAAACGTCTAAATGTGCCCAAAAATTCTTATCTTGATTAATGACGTACAAATGGCAATGCTGTGCGCTGCACTGCCTCAAGGCAGATGGCATCGTGTATATATTATAGCAACTGTGGCTAAACCGTGAATATATTATAGCAACTGTTGGCCGTTGGTTGCTCAAAAGAGCTAGAAGAGCTGTTTTATTTGTTCTAGCTATTCGGTATTTGAGATTTAATTGTAAATGGCATTTGCTTGTACAAGGTTGAAATTAAAAAAACTTTCTTATAGCAACTGTAGTTAAATTCAAATAATTAAAACTTTATTTGATTGGTCTGTGTGAGTGACGTTGATGAGTCGTGGCTGGCTAATGTGGTCTGTGCTTTTAACGCGGTGAGAGAAACTGTGAAATTGGACGGTAGAGAATCGGTGATTAGCATTTCCTGGAACTGCTAAAAAACTTGTCCATACTTGCTTGCACGAGCTACCGCGTACGTCTGTGCACTTCTACCGCAAAAACGGAGTGCACAAACTAAGTGGGTGTATTTTTGCTAGCACTCGAAGTACTTCTTGTTAGCGGAAAAGAACTGTGTCAAGAACATGTAACAATTATCAGGCACTTGTAGAACCGAGGCTAGCGTTCGTTAGTTATTGAAAGAGGCATTGCTATTAAAGTTAAGATTAGGGATATAAGCCATTATGGCGTACATTTGATTTTTAAGCAAATAACTGGGGCGCGAACTGACAACATCGTTTAACAACCATATAAAGAAAACAAAGTTATGACCCATGCATTAGTAGACAACAACCTACAGAGTAACAACAAGTGCACCACTACTTCACGTTAAATAATTTTATAAGTTGTAGACATTAAAACAATAACTCATGTAAGTGCCTTCGACTGCCACTGACCTTGACCTTACAAAACAGTCTACAAATATTCAACACAAAAGTTCACAGAACTGTAGAGAAAAAGAAATATTATTGGATCATCCAATAAATGATGCCAATTAGGCCGTGATTGTACTTGTTCCAATTTGCCCTAACTCTCTCTGCGCTTCTGCAACCATATCGCTTATACGAGCCTGTTGTTGTGTCACTTGCTGCTGTAGCCGCGTCTTTATATCCGTCTCCGCCGACATAGCCTGCTGTAGCAGCGCCTGCATCGTGGCATTCTGGTGATCCGGTGCTGTTGCGGCCAGTGAGGACAGCCCAGCCAGCTGCATATTGATGTGTCGGTTGTGAACATCCAAATACATTCCGGCCATGAGCCGCAAGAAGTACGCTTGTGACAGTATCCCATTCGCGTCATCCACTACCAGCTCTGCAATGTAACCCCGACCGGCATCGTCCACGGCACCCGCCAGCTCTACTACGTCGGCTAAAGGCATAATGGAGTGTCGCACCGCTTTATCGACCTGCTGGGTCATCAGAGCAAAGAAATCCACCAATGACGACCAGTGATAGCGCAGCTGGCTCATCACCTGTGTGGCTTCTTTCAACATCTTGATGATTTCGTCAAAACGAATTGTTTTCATATCGAGAGTCGCCAGGCGTCCGATGATCTCGTAGTACGATCGGTACTCGCTTAGTCGGCTGTTGAAGATCTCCATCTGGGTTTTGGCTAACCTGTTGGCTTTATCCATCGCCAGGTATACCTTGAGTTTCTCGTTGGCAAAAGGTCCACTCATGTCCCCGGTTGGTTGTGCTCCAGTACCGGTATCAAACGCTCCCTGCTGTTGTCCAACGGCTTCGGCGTAGAGATTTCGAGCAGCGGAGTTCAGTTCAGCAGCTTCATTCTTCATAACAGCGTCACCCGAAGCTGTGCCCTCATTTATGCGGTCCACAACTCCTTTGGCTTGTTCGATTAGGCTGCGTATGCGCTGACTTTGCGGCGATATGATATTGCGCGATAACGCCTCCAAACGCTTTTTCGCTTTGCGAGAAAATTCGTCCGCGGTTTCCACGGTGGAGGCAGCCGGTGTGTGGATAAAATCCCCGATGGAAGACATTACGTCCAAGACCTGCGAGGCTTCTTTGTAATCGATCGTAGGGAGACGGGGACCGCTGTCTGCGACGGTTGGCTTTTGTGGTCGATCTGGTTTTCCATTAAAAATATTCGCGAGGCCCAATACGGAGCCTACATTTTCTATTACACTGGTTAGAGCGTGACCCAAAGTCAATCCAAGTGCTTTCCATCCCGTTGGCAGGTCTTTGATGGCTTGTGCGTAAGCCGCATCGGCTTGGCGCACCTGCAAACAATACAGCGTTTAAATGTATATTCGGTAATGTCCATTATTTTTTATCGTGCTCGCAAAACCGGAAGGCAGCACACTACCCAAAACAGTATAAACTAAACATTTTTTTAAATTTTAATCGGTTTTATGTCTGCCAAAAAGCCGGGCATAACGAGCTGTGGCTGACTTTGTGGTCTATAACAATATCCGTTTCTGAAACAAACTACATACAGGAAGGACTGTATATTGCTTAAAGGACTGCCGTTGGGATTCTTTTGTTCTTGTCGAGTAAACACAAGCACGGGAAAGTCTTTCAACAACTTGGTGTGAAAACGGGTTTTATCAGTAAACACTTTAAAAGAATTGGTTCTGTCGGTAAGCTGGTGTATGGGTTTTCTCTTAACGACGGAAACGGAAGAGTGCCACAAATTGTATAATACGGTCGTTTAATACTCGGTCCTATTAACAGACATTATTTTTATTTGCATACCTCCTCGTCTATTTCGCGCTGTTTCTTCTCGAGTTCTTGAATCTGCCGGTCAGTTGCGTTTTTCATCACTTGATTCTGAACTAATTCCACCTCGGTATTCCACAGCTTCTCTTCATAATCGCCTCGTCGGGCCTGTACCGCTTCCGAGATCTCACCAGTTAGATTCATGATCATACCAAATTTGTCGGCGGTACCCCGGGCTCGCAGTGCCGCTTGCTCTCCGCTGGACCGAATTAATTTCAGCGAAATACCGGTCATATTGGACATGATGGACAGCGGAGCGGTCTTGAGTACCCGCACCACGGTACGCAGATGGACGGGTAGCTGCTGCATCTCTGATTGCAGGAAGCTCATGGTGCGGAACGCATCGTGGAACGCGTCCCAGGCATCGTTGGCCAGCTGTACCAGGGAAGCGCGTAGTGATGATGGATAGCGGATAAAACGGTATCCGCCGACGGGTGGACGCTCAGCAAGAGAGATATCGGTTTTGGAGCATATTACCAGGAGTTGTCCCATTAAGGCGATGGACACCGGGGCTGGACCGAGATATGCTTCGGGTAAGATGCGCGATTCCCATAACTGGGCGCTTTGGTTTAAGGAAGCGCCAGCTGCCAATAGTTCGGTTCCTACAAGAACAACAGTGGGTTCAGTTTCTACAGAAATCACTTGCGTTTATAATTAATGCCAATAAAAAATTTCGGTCCGATAAAAATCTTTTAATTGTTGGTGTTTTCGACTTTGCCTGTTTTTATTCATCCGTACACATCTATCTGTATATTAAGGAAAATAATAATTATAAAATGGGGCACCATGTTATAAACTTTGCAATAATCAGTATTATGAATTATTATATTTGCAGATTGGTAGTAATTGTTTACCTTTGCTATAATCAATAAATAAATCGCTTCATACGTATTACGAGGACGAGTATCTAAAGTTACGTATAAAGTTTACAACACAAATTTTCTTTTGCCAAAATTTATAGCTTTCCCGATTTGTATATGGTAAAACGGTAACTTAAAACGGACATACCCTAATAAATGCACTGCGTACCCAGTGATAAAGAGTGCTGCATAATGCATATGCGCGGGAATTTCATTACTTATATGTAACGGCAAGCTTACCGGTATGAGCCTGTCGCACCCGACGATTGCTGTGACTCAGAGCTGAAGATGTTAAGATCAAACTCGCTAGACAAACGGTAGTCCATATTGAAAATTGCATGACTAAAACAGACGATTTGGGTACTTTTTGGAGCAAAAATTAAAGTAATATTTTTATTTTACAATGAATAGGAACAGGCTGCTACATTTGGGTTCTGTCGCCGAAATTTTATACTTTCCAGCTATCAGTGCTACTTTGTGGGGATTTCTGGGCGCTGCGTAAGCCATATCCGCAAAATTGCAAGTCCATTCCATAACTGTGTCAAGCGATAGTGCGATTCGGTAAAGTTATCTGCCTTATCAATTCAGAATGCTCATCCGCGTGTTATGTCACTGTAGGGGAGATATATTTTATGGAAGGACAATATGTAACCTGCTTGCTGTTCATCTCACAATGCATAACAGAAATTAGAATTACCTGATTTTCACTTATAACCAACGGTTGCAGGCCAACGACCATCAGGCTGATTGGCTTCTACTTAAATAAATCGCACACGCGGCTGCTTAAAAGCGTTCTTATGTGTGATCCGGAAGCAGAATTACAAAATTATGTGCTAACGTTATGGGCAGATATTGATACCGCGGTCTGTGGCAGGCTGAACGTGTGGTTAAGTTACTAAACATTGCGATTATAAGAGGAAGACGGTAATGATGCTTATCGGTTTGCGATGGCTGTGTTTCGCCAGCGGAAGTTATAACACGGTTCATGCAACAACTGCTGCAATTCCAAATTCTACATATTAATAGTTTCCGTCTGCATTCCTCCGATAGCCTATAAATGGTCTGCACAGGTTCCGTGACTAATTATTAACGATCCCTACACTTACTTTAATCAACGGGATAACCTCGTATGACAGTTTTGGTACTCCACCAGAAATTCGGCGTTATTCGCCTAGCCTAGTATGCGCATAAGTGCGTTCCGGTAGCCTGCATCATGACAATTCGTTTCAACATACTCATCCTCTCGTGTCTCTCCTTCGTACTAGGTCAGTTTTGTCTCGATCTTAAATCGTTCTACTCAGCGGTACATATTTTGTAAAAGAAAGTATAGAAATACATTATCATCTACGAAAGTTGAATTATCCGTTGTTCAGTGCTCGTGTATTACAGTCCCTTTACACGTTATTAAACGAGACTTTTGTTCTTTCGCTTAAATTGTTTACCCATTTTGAGATTAGTCATGGCGCATCAAACTGCAAGGTTGTATTCTTGGGCTGCTGCAGGTAGCAACGTGGATACATACAAGAATACTGTTTTGTTTCCGTATAAAGAAGCCCTGGTCTACTTCGCCGATGCAGTAGTACAGCCGCTGGCCAGCGCACCGGTACCCACAGGAGATTACCAAACCGGTAAGTGTCTCCACGGGTGTACTCTACAGATTCCGCTGCGCAGCATTAACATTACTGATTCCAGAGAAATATTACTAAATTTGCTAAGCTGTTATAACATATTTCGCATCTTCTGACGGCGAACCACTTTGCTTAACCAACATACTCTGTACAGTAAACATGCGGCACGCCTAAATCTCACCAAAAAGTTCAAAACTCATACTGTAATTTTCAAAACTCATACTGTAATAAACTCATACTGTAATACAAACATACTGTTCAAAACTCTTACTGTAATACAAAACTCATACTGTAATTTTCTTGTCCTCAGACTTTACCGAAGAACTGAAGGCATTTATTCGGGATTCCAAAAACTTCCACGCCAAAATTCATAATTTGAGCACCGCTGCGGAAACCGAAAAAGTTAAAATGAATAATGCACTGCAGCGAAAAACCATGGAACTCAGCAGCGTTAATACCCACCTAACTCAGAGGCAAAATGAGCTTCGACAGAAGAATGCCGAACTGCAAGGACAGCAAGTCCAGCTAAATGAAGCCAACGGTCAGCTGCAACAAGCCAGACTAGAAACAGCGCAAGCACAGCGGGTAGCTGAGGAAGCGCGGCGGAAACGTGAGAGACAAAAATTATGTTGGATATTTCCTCCAGTATGTCTTTTCTTTTTGAACCAGAAGAAGAAAGTCGCAGCGGCTGAAGCCCGGCAACGTAATCTTGAAGCACGCGTAAGGCAGTTTGATCAAGTGTTCCGCGCGTTGCAAACTCAGCGAAATGCACTGCAAAATCAGGTGAAGTATTATTCTCGGCAGCTGGTTAAGTTCCTGCGAAAAGTGAATTTTTTTAACGGGCTTTTATCTGCGCATTGCAGGTGCACACAATCAACGGACAAAAGCACGCCCTGGAACAACAGCGTGCTACGCTGCAAACGCAACTGAAACAAGAATCGGAAGTCTCAGCCGGCATCACGCTTTTTTACGGCCATATGTCTAGCCTGTTCGATCATTCCGCCAGCTTGCAGAATATTGTCGACCAGCTGATTTCCGTGGATTTAGTTCTTGTTCCTCTGGAGCAAATCTTCGGGAAAATAAGTACCTTAACCGGACACCAGCAAGTTAACGAAGAAATCTCCGCGGTATTAAGCCGTCTCCGAATTAATATGCTTTTGTTAAAAGAAACCTTAACGAAGTATCCCTTGTTCTTGCTCAGCCATGTTGTTCCTTAGTGACGTTTTGCTGATATTCCTCGTTCGTGATTTTGTATACTCACACTAATTTTATTTTTGAAAGGAAGTTATAGTTTCAGCTGCATTCCGGAAATCAGCGATCTTCGTGTCATTCTATGTGTCATATACTCATGAAGTATTAATGTACAACAGGTTTTGCTTGCCCGCTTTCATGTCAATAAAAATTTTCCAATTTATCTTGAGGACAGCTACAGTGAACGATGTATGTAGCAAAATATTGATGAAAATGCAAAACGTTTAATACGTACAGATCTACACCAGCGTCTCTGTGTACAACGCTCGTGAAAAATCAAATCGTGGAAAAACCTAAATTGCAACCGCGCGCATTTTGAGCAGGCTTTATTTCCCTGCGCGTCATAATCTCCAACTAATTTTTCCTCGCAGGTAATGTTTATACCTCATTTTGGCAGAAGCAAGCATTGCCGAAGTCAGTAAGCAGCAGTTATATTGAAAGTGCGTTAGTCTTGCGGCATTTAATTCAGGAAAAAAACGGCTTCTTACGATGCAATTTGCTTTTAGTTTTGGTTCGATAAAATTAACCGATAGTAGTAAATAAATCGAAAGGAGCTCCCTGCAAAATTATTACGTTCTTCGAACCCGTTTGCAAAGCTAAATACTTTTCTTTTCTTATACGAGTATTTAAGGTTCATCGCTCCTATGACCTACGTATTATAACAATAAAAACTTAACACGACGCTAATCCAGTACTAAATACTGACTCTTCAGGTGCCGTCCTTTCAGCGCTCTTATTAGTGATGATCGAAACTGTTCGTGTTCGTGCCGCGTAGTACTGCGCTGCCGCGCAGATGGGATATTTATGGACAAGCAGCATGTAACTCGTTGTCATCCTGTGATGCATCAAGTAAGTTATTTACCATTTTAGCTTGTAATTTTAAGACTGTAGCCATTAGGCCGTAAACTTTTCAAAGATTGCGTATGTCACAGGCTATGCAAAAGTGCTTATGCATACCGGAAGTAGGGTTACAAAACGAAGATGCAAACGTTGTAAACATTATGGACAGGAATTATGGTAGCGCAGTCTCTGTTAGGTTTAACGAACGAATATGTTAGTTAGCAGATCCGGAGAAAGACGATTACAGTGACTGGTATGGCACCGGTATGGCTTATCAGCTTTCTCCGGCAATATGTCTCACCATCAGTTAAAGCATGTTTAATACGCCAACTGTTCCTTATCAAATTTCCTGACAGCTGCCACAATTTGCTTTCGCCGGTAGGATATAAAATGACTTCTGTATATTCCGTGGCTAATTAATCCCACTCCCTGCATTGTCGGCATGGTAAACCAAGTTCCTCTGCGGGATAGTTTTTTTTTTAAATAATAGCACCGCGTACGATTTAGGACAGTATTGTGTACTGAAACTCTCCCAGAAACTTGATCTTGGCAGGCTAGTTTGTGCATCACCGTTTTCCGGTACTCCAGTATTTTGCATCATTAAAATGCGCCTGAGCATCTTAATCCTTTTCTCGCTATTCTTCGTAACAGGTTAGCTTCGCCCAGATTTTTGATTATCAATATAATGACATTCTATAAAATACAGGATGTACGCTAATGTAAAAAGAGAAGGACACTTTAATAATTAATATGACTTGTACAGTACGCCAGCTCGCCAGAATCATTCCGATTGTAAACATTGCAATTGTAACACAACTTCATAATCTGTCTGCTTAGCAACAATACACCACATCTCCTCTCTCCGTTACAAAAAACTTTTTTCGCTACATTTTTCCCTTTTCATATCCATATCGATCGGGAACCTTCGTCACTCTTGTAGACTGGCGTAATGCTGGCTGTTCCGCATTTGTCGCTTGTGGTAGCGGTTGCGGATTCGTTATCGCTTCCGGTACAGCTGAAATCTCAGGTTCTGGCTTCACAGTTACTGCTGCTGGTACTTCTGGTTCAGCAGTTTTCATACTCGCGCTCGATGTCGTTTCTGCCAGTTGTTTTGGGATTTCTGGCAGTGGTTACATCATTTGGCTCTTCGTTGTCGCTTCTCCAGTGTCTGAGTTTGATCTGGTCTATGCCTGACCCACTGATCACCATCAACTGTGACTATCCACTGACGTTGACCTTTCCTGCTGATTAGTTTCCCAGCTGTCCAGTTTGTTTCGGTCCATGGCGTAATCGCGAACGATGACCATCTGACCAGGGCTAAACTCCTTCGCCTTCGTGTGCTGATCGAACTGCTCTTTATAACGAGCCTGGTTTGCGACTCGCTTCTCATTCACATCTGGATGAATGCGATCCAGTGCTGTTCGCAGCCGTCGGTTGAAAAACAGTTCATCCGGTGGACTTCCGGTTGTTGACTGCGGTGTCGTACGGTAGCGAAACAGGTACTGCCGTATGGCTTCTGTCGAGATCGGTTTTCCGGCAGCCAACATCTTTGTCATGGCGTCTTTGAACGAACTGACATACCGCTCCGCCTGCCCGTTTGACTGCGGATGTCCTGGAGCCGTGCGCAGGTGCTTGATTCCTGTTACGTTGACAGTAATCACTGAATTCCGCCGAGGTAAACTGCGGCCCATTGTCCGTTACCAACTGTCTGGGATACCCATAGCGCACGCACAGGTTTTCCATTACGGCAATGACATCCGCTGACTGGGTGCGCTCTCATTCTGATCACCTCGGCCATTTGAGAAAACTGTCCACGATGATCAGGAACATTTCGTTACGAAACGGTCCCGCGAAATCCATGTGGACATCGTTCCTACGCACGCTCCGCTATCGGCCATTGCTGCAGGGGACTTTTGGTGTCTCTTTTGATGCCAGGCTGCACTGTGGACAGTTCTGAGACAGGCGTTCAATGTCGCCGTCCATTCCTGGCCACAGAAGTGACTGCGCGCTTCCGCCTTCATCCTGACTACACCTGCATGGGTCTGATGCAGATAATTCAGTAGCTGCGTCCTGAGGGCGGTTGGAATCACTGTCCTTGCTCCCCAAACAACGCAACCACTGACCACCGACAACTGAAATCGGCGCTGGTAGTATGGCTGGATATCTGCTGGAGCCTTATCTGGCCATCCGGACAGTACCAGATGTCTGCAGCGCGCAAGAAGCGGATCTTTACCGTCGCTGACGCAAATCTTCCGTGCGTCGACAGGTGTTTCGGACAACTGCTCAACGTCGATTTGGTGCACCACTTCACTCATTCCCCAATCGTTGACATCGAACATGTCTTTGGAGTGCAGCGGCAACCTACTGAGTCCATCAGCTTGCCCGAAGTCCGCTGTTGACCGGTATTCAATCCGGAAGCTGTATCCATCAGTGCCACTGCCCATCGCTGCAGTCTGTTTGCTGACACGATCGGGATTCCGGCTTTACTTCCGAATATCGTGACCAGTGGCTTATGGTCGGTGAGTAATACGAACTCGCGTCCGGCCAGATACTGGTCAAATTCCTTCACTCCGAAGACCAGAGCCAGCGCCTCTTTTTCAATCTGGGCGTACCGCTGCTCCGTTTCGGTCAGTGTTTTCGACGCATGCGCAATGGGGCGGTCTTCACCCTCCGGGCCGCGGTGGCTGATCACCGCGCCAATGCCATACTGTGATGCATCAGCTGCTAGTATCAGTGGCTTTGCTGGATCGTAGTGGACCAGCATCGTTGCCTCGCCAGCTCTTTCTTCAGGCCTTGGAAGGCAGATTCACACTCCCGTGACCACGCCCAATCGACATCCGCTTTCAGCAACGAATTCATACAGTAAGTTTTCGTTGCTAGCTGAGCGATGAATCGGTTGTAGTGGTTGATCATTCCTAGAATGACCGGAGCTGCTGAACGTCTTCCGTGCCGGCATATCCAGTATGGCCTGTACCTTGCTGACGGATACGGCGCCCGTGCTTATCCACCACGAATCCGAGATACTCCACTGAGGCTTGGAGAAAGTGACACTTCTCTGCCTTCAGTGTGAATCCTGTTCCCTCATGCGCGTTAGTGTTTGCGTCACATTTCCGAGATGCTCCTTCCGGTTCCGTCCCGTGACGATGACATCATCTTGGAATATCGCCAGGTAACCGATACCACTAAGCATACTTTCCATCAGTTGCTGGAATATGCTGGGTGCCGCCACACCGAATGGCAGTCGTGTGTGGCGGAATAGACCACGGTGCGTATTGATCACCACCAACCAGCTGCTTTCCTCATCCAGCGGAACTTGATGGTACGCATCAGACATGTCTATTGTCGTAAATTCTTCGCCTCCGTTCAGTACTGCAAACAGTTCATCGGGCAGAGGCAGCGGATACCTCTGTATATCCAGCGCGTCGTTTAGCCCTGTGCTCAAGTCGGCACATGTTCGCACTTTCCGTTTCACTCTACGGACTATCACAATTGGTGCGGCCCACTTTGCCTGATCGACCTTGACCAACACTCCCAGTCGTACCAAACGCTCCAAGTCTTCTTCCACTGGTTGTCTGAGCGCGAACGGCACTGGGCGTGGGTTTGCAGAACTTCGGTATGGCGCCTGGCTTCAGGTATAGATGCGCTGAAATGTCCGGCAGCATCCTAGCTCGTCCCGGAACAGTTCCTTGTTCTGCGCGAGGATACTTTCCAGCGTGTCCGGTTCCGCCACCGTGTGAACGGCTGACGTTGACAATTCGCTGAACTTCAGGTCGCCCATGTTTAGCGCGGATCCAGTCTCTTCCCAAGATCCGCCGCCCTTCTCAGCCACTATCATCTCAAGGTCACTGGCTGTGCTGTTCCGGTGCTCTGCGTTCACCTTGCACACGCCTAGTACTCGTATTGTGTGGCCAGTGAAACTGCGCAGCAATCTTTGTATGGGGACAGTTTAGGTGATCCCACTGATTGCCACATTTGCCTTGATGCAATGGTCTTCCCGGATCCGGTGTCCAGTTCAAAGTTACTGACCGTCCGTTGATCTTGATGCACATCTGCATCGGGTTTCCGTCTGGCGAGCTAGTGTGCAGAATGTCGTACACGGCTCCTGTCCGGCTTCTCCTACCGCGTTGCCCTCCTTGATATCCGCTTGCCTGTTTGGACTTGCAGACCCGCGCAATATGGCCGGCCTTGCCACAATTGCGACAGTTCTGGTCCTGAACCGACATTGCGCTTGGTCGTGGTTCGTGTTTCCACACCGATAGCACGCTTTGCCGCCACCGCTGTTTGGAGCTCGCTTGGCTTTGGCACCACCATTTGGCTTGGCTTCGACGGGATGAGGTCGCCTTCACGATGTCTTCTTGGAGGTTGTTGTTGACCTTGGCCTCTTCCTGGCCAGTCTCAAACCGTTTTGCGATCTGCAGTGTCTCGTCGAAGGACTTAAGCTCTTGCGACATGAGATGGCGCCTCGTGGTATCGCTGTACACTCCAGCCACAAACACTGAGCTGAGTAAATCCTCCAACAACGTCCCAGGAAACTTACATGTGTAGTTTTATCCCGTAGTTCGTTAGAGAAAGCCACTAGCGATTGGCTGGATTTCTGTCGAGTAGAGAAAAACGAGGCCCATTCAGTCGTTTGGTAGGTGACCTTTATGTACGTATCGTCCAGCTTCTTGATAAGCTCATCGTACGACAGCTCCGTAGGCTCCTTTGGTCGACAGGCGCTGACAAGGTCTTGGAAGGCTCGGACTTCCAGACTGTTCAGCAGCACTTCTTTCTGTTTCGTGGCGGCTATTTCCGCAAGGGCAAAATAGTTCTTTAACAACGACTTCCATGATGTCCATGGTAGCTGGTCAGGTTAAACCGTATCAGATTCTGCGCTTTCTTTCAGTAGACATGGTTTGTGGAATACGACTATCCTTTCACGCCAGATGTCATGTATTAAGTAATACACTTTAATAATTAATATGACTTGTACAGTACGCCAGCTCGCCAGAATCATTCCGATTGTAAACATTGCAATTGTAACACAACTTCATAATCTGTCTGCTTAGCAACAATACACCACAGACAGCGGCATGCGAGGTTTTATTCTTCGACTGTTACAGGCAGCAGTGAGGATACCTTCAAGAACACTGTCCTGTATCCGTTAAATAATCCGTATAAAGATACAGGACAGTGTTGCGGAACTAGCCTGCGTTAATACTCAGTTGACACAGAAGCAGCATGAGCTCCAGATGAAGAATGCCGAACTGGAAGGACAGCAAGTCCAACTAAATCACGCCAGCGGTCAGCTGCAACAAGCCAGAGCGGAAACCGCGCAGGCACAGTGAGAAGCTGAGGAGGCGCAACGGAAACTGGAGAGTCAGCGGAGCTGTATAACCGGCAGAGGAAAGCGCTTTATCAAGAAAATCAAAAAGGTCTTCAAAAAAGTGATTAATGCACCGTGTTATGTCGTGCACAATATCGATGCCCAGGCCAAGAGACGGAATGAAGCAGAAAGCCGTCAACGTGGTCTTGGGACGCGTAGACCAGCTTAACAAGGTCTTCAGTGTGCTGAACGAACACCGAAGTAGCCTACAAAATCAGGTACATTTCTTTTCATGTAAACATACTAGTTGAGCTTTTATGAAACCGTCCAGTAGGGATCACTTTACACCTTTGCACATAAATACCATTAATGCGCAAAAACAAGCGCTTGAAGAACAGCTGTCTTTGCTGCTGCAACAACAATCGGAGCTGTGAGCCAGCATCACGCTCTTTTATGGTCACTTATCTAGCCTTTTTGACCATTCCGTCAGCTTGCAAAATATTGTCGACAAACTGATTTCCGTGGATTTCTTGTCATCGTCCCTCTCAAACAAATATCTGAAAACATGAGCACTATTACCGGCGATCAAGTGGATACTGACGAAATCTCGGCCGCTTTGAGCCGTTTGCGGCAGGATATGATCTTGTTAAGAGAAACCTTACCGAAGTAACCGTTGTTCTTCCTCAGCCATATTGTTTCGTAGCGAATTTCAACTTGTGAGTTTTAATTTGATCTTTTGTAAATTCGGTTTACTTTAGTAAGCAATGTTACGTCTTTGAACTGCATTCGGTAACAAGCAATAATGAACGCCGCGCGGTGGACCAGACGAATTGCTTTGCAACGGTCATCATATGCAAAATTGCACAACTTCGTTAGCATTATATGTAGAAGACAAAGCAGTGTACGTGCATACACTGGACTTCAAAAATTAACGATGTTACATCTATGAGCGTACGGTCATACCCGTCCAAACGCACAGCGCTGTCGGCTGTGGGTGTATGCATCTTTACGAAATCATTGTATCATGTCATGCACATCTCCGTTAGACACCTGGTTTCCCATTGTCCAGAAAGCAGCACACTGTGCACCAGCGACCATTTCTTCGAAATTTTCGTTCTCACCAGTAGATAGTAAACCAGAATTGTGTTACTCGCCATTATGTTCAGTACGAGTAGAATCGGTGTATAACGTAGTTAGTGTCAACGCGATTACTACAATTTTATTATTTAGCACAACATCAAACTGCTGTTGCCGGCTTATTTTTCGATGCGACGGTTACTCGAATACCTTACAATTACGAATATACTGTAGCATTGCCAGTATCACTTTCATTTGGTTCTTTTTGATTTTCATAAACTGCTAACACTCGAACTGCTAACACACTGCTAACACTGCTAACACATAGCTGCTATTGTTTATCCTTAATAATATTCTTATGGTGTAGCAATAAAAATTTATGGTTTTTCGATCACCCAAAAGGCCCTCTCAGTTTTTTGAGTGAATAAATACTATGAGATTATGCTCTAATTCTCTTTCATACAGTTACACCATAGCGTGATTAAGAAAAAATAAGGGATACTGCGGCAGTTTCTCTTTGAGGGTGGCAGTATATTGGCGCATACGAGTCAAAGCCGCGCTGATATCGTTTCTAATCAGCTGGTCGCCGGTGAAAGCCATCAACTTCTCGGAGATTTGCTCCAGAGGCGCTATGAGCAGCTCTGTGGAGATGAGTTTATCCATAACATTCTGCAGACTTCCAGAGTGGTCAAAAACAGTGGAGATGTATCCGTAGAACAGACTGATCGGCGCGACCAGTTCCGTTTCCCGCCGGAGCTGCACTTGAAGCACGGACAACTGATGTTCTAATGCGCACTTTTGACCGGTAACTGCGCTCACCTACAACAAATTAATTAAAGCTGCTTTCTAAAAGCAAGTTCGGCGCGATTCAAGTATTACGTAACGGCTCAGGGGGTGGGGAGTGGGTCCGGCTGGCGTTACCCGCTCATAAGTAATACATGGATAAAGGTCACAAATGGGTGGGGGGGTGGTCGAAAAAGTTGAAAATTTCCGTTACGTAATACTTGAATTGCGCCTTCGGCAACATTATACTAGCTTTACGCTTTCTCGAGGAGGCAGTGCTCGGATTCTTAGCACAGAATGTTCAAATTAGGGAAATAATTCTGAACTGAATTACCGGTTGTCACTATCAGCACAAGCGTGCCGTTTTGTGAAATGATCATTGAACAGATTCATGTACGAGCCCGGTGATTAAATTCCTGCGTAAAAGAATAAAAAAAAGAGATTCTTGGGTAATGCTAAACTTTGAACTGCTGCCCGTCATGCCAAGCTCCCGAATTACGCGTTACCTTGATCTGACATGGCTGGAAGCACGTCACGAATTGATCGTAATAAGTCTTCGTAGAATCTACGAAGTTTACGAAGGAGTTCGCAGAATTAAATTTATCATTGCTATAGCTTTAGTGTTGTAGCTACTTTCGATGCGAATCGCGCTTAATATTCTACTTCATGCCAGTAAGTCAATCATTGTGGTTATAACAATCGTATTTTTATTGTTGTATATGCGCAAGCAAACGATTATTAGTGAAAAATCAATCGTCACAAAGCAGATGCCAGGGATTTAATTACAAATTCACTTTAAAAAGTCGGTTTTAGTTTCATTTTACTAGACCAAAGCACTTCTCGAAGTCGAAATTAAAGGTAGATCATTTTACCGTCTGACCTGATGCTTCGACCAGAAAACTTTATTGTATCGAATCGTACGTATATCGCTGTTTGTCTTACCTGATGTTGTGCATGATCCCGTTTGGCGCGTTTCTGATTGACCAGGTGAGTAAGGTCATGGACTCGTGCTTGAGCCTGAACTTTCTTGCGTGCCGCTGCCGTTCGGCGGTCTTTTGCGCTATCGATATTGTACACGACGTGGCACGGAAATTCCAAAAGCTTCTTGAAAAGCTTCTCAATCCCTCGTTTTTTTCTGCCAGTGATGCAGTTTCTTATTGGTTCCACTCTACGCAGCGCTTCGTCGTATTCATGCTGGGCGTGAAGTGCGTCCGCTTGGGCGTGCGCCAAATGGCTGTGCGCCTCATTCAACTGCACCTCCTGTCCACTCAGTTCGGCCTTTTTTACATTCAGCTCGTGTTGTTTTTGGTTTAACTGACCACTGCAGGCGGCGACTTCCGCATTTTTCTGCTCCACTTGCTGCTGTGTTTTCACCTTTTCTGTTTCTGCTGCGGCGCTGATATCACGAACAATGGCGTTGAAGGTTTTGCAGTCGCGCGCAAATTTTTGCAATTCAGGCGTTAACTCTGGGGTCAAAACAAGATTTAGAAGATGTTATGCTACGCTGTTAGCCACAGTTACCGGTTTGATTAGCGTTCACGGGAACGGGCGCGGCACTGAGCGGTAACATAACTGTGTCAGCAAGATAAATTACGGCATTCTTGTATGGATACAGCACTGCATGCTTGTATTTGTAAGCTTCATTATTATTAGTGCCTGAAAAGAAATGCGACTTGTGCCGATGAATTTATAAACTCATTTCATTAGTCTGGCAATGGCATGTCTATTAAGTACAAGATCTATACTACGCGCGGCGCCCCATAGTTTTGAGATCTCTATAACCATAAAACTTCTGGAAAAACGGACAACGCCATTAGATCCGGGATAGTTCAGAAGTGGCCCGCATGTGTTTTTTTTATGAAAATATCGAGCCGGCATCAAGCCGGCATCAAGACCAGATGATCCAACCCATCTTAAAGGTCACCTTAACCTTAGAAATATTTGCCTAGATACAATACAAAATACCAATTGACATAATTATCACACTAATTAAACCGAAAAATAAATAAATAATTATTGTGCTTATTCAAACACTCGCGTTATTCAAACATTGCTGCCGGTGTTGCCGAGCTCGAAACACGTTTAAAATCAACCGATATAAAATGTAAAAATATCAAATATAAAATCAATACCAAAAATCACTGGACGAGTGAGTGACCGAAACACTATCACCGACCACTGAGCGGAATCTCTAGATGAGTGGGTGACCGAGCGACCACCACTACTGTCCAGTACACAAACGCCGTTAAGTGATCTAGTGACCGAGCTACCACTACTGCCCAGCGCACAGAGCCCGTTAGGTGAACCCGTGACCGATCTACCACTACTGTCCAGTGCATAGATCCCGTTAGGTAGGTGGGTGACCGAGCTACCAAAGCTATCCAGTGCACAGAGCCCGTTAGGTGAACGTATGACCAAACTGCAATATTACTGAGCAAAATAGAGCAGGGCCTGCTAAGTTCTTAATGGGTGACCTATCTAGCACCTCTGTCCAGTCTTAGCGTCCTTTTAGTTTGCAATGTGATACTCTCGTGGGTGATTAGATTCGGATGGTTTTTCGCTAAGAAAATTTAACAAAAAATGATCTGTAAAGTCAAAGTAATTGCGTTCGACTGCACGAAACCAAAACATCCATTTTTTTACAAAATTTTTGTTATCGGGCTTTTCAGATTTATCCGTTTTAAGTTAACAATCCGTAAACCGGCCAAGGAGTTTAGAACCCAAGAAACGCGGAGGCGAAGCCGAGGCTGTTTCTTGTATATGTATATGACCAGCATTTGAAAATAAAGAATTTGCTTCGGAAGATCTTTTCAAAAACAATAAAATCTACGGTAAAGAAGCAAGTAAAAAAAAGCTCTTGTTATATTTTACGGGTTACTAATTTTAGAATGCAACCACAAAAACGTCGTGAGCCTTCAGAAAAAACCAAATGCACCGGATAAAAGATTTTCCATGATTTCATCATTTGGCTCACCTCCAGCACCAACCACCAAAAGTAGCAGGAATTCCAACGAAGGCCAGTTGTCCATCATGGATAGCTAAGAAAAAGAGTGGGCAATGCTTCCATATACGAGGCAGGAATCACGACAACCTTAAAATCACGAAGAACTGTGGCACAAAAAAATTTCCTAAAACAGATAGATGGACTGCTTTTCCTTTTAGCTGACTGTGTAACACAGAATACAAATCAGTAAGATCAAGAAATGTTTAATATCAGGAACCAAAACGGACGGGTCGTTCAGATATCCACATGTTACAGAAAAATGAGCATTGACACACTCACGAGCAATAACAATTAACGAAGCCTCCAGTCGTAAACACGGCGATAGTTTGAGCTTTGTATGGTAGAGTCCAGTGATGTAATTCCTGCTATCAACATGCGAGACTAAAATTTGAAAAGAATGCCCTGTATTTGCAAATCCGTAGGTTTTTATAGTTAGTTCTTTTGGAATGCACGCAATCGCGTTGTGCCGAAACGTCATTTGATATTGATTGCCTAGCAAAAGACATGATCATCTGTCGGATAACCAGACCCGTTCCTGTTTACGCTGTATTTACTTTACCAGTAAAATTCTTTGCACTTTCGTCATCCAATATCACTTCTGACTTCTGAGTGGTATCACAGGAAAACAAACCGTTTTCCGTTTGTCAATGGTTAAAATACGTATATAAGATTGTTTATCACAATGATAACAATCGGTGTTTGAAGAAAACCGTTTACTTTCATCCGTTTCCTTCGTCAAGAAAACCGTCAGTAGGTGGCCATTTTCTAAAAATGCTCATGGACTATGAATCAGACTGCTGATCAAACAGATATTTATAGTTAGCGTTTTTAATCTCTATATAATCTCTATATAATAATCGCGTAAGCCTTAATCTTTGTTGAGTCCGTCAGCTCGACTCACGGATCCAAACTGCCGTGACTATATATCATTCGATAGCTCTTAAAGTGTAGATTTGCCATCACAAATCAGTTTTTCAAGAAAAAGGTAAGTTTGAAAGAAAACTTCCAAAAACTTTAACATACAAAGTCTATGGGAAAAGCTAAGAACCCACCACTGCTAAACCAACCACCCCACCACTGTCTCAACAGCCAACATGCTTTTTTGACAGTTACGCTGCAGCACGACTGAACATTACGTTCCATAACAGAAAATAATATTTCATCGTCTTAATGTACATTTCTCATCGAAATTTAGTTTTGAGAAAGAAAACAAAACGAAGGAAAGAAAACAAAATGGCCGCAAAGATTCTGCGACGGTGGGACGGTTCTAAAGTCTGATTTTAAGAACGTACCTGACCCCCGCAGTAGTTTATTCAGTTTTGGCCTAACTACGCTGTAAAGTACCTTCCCGGGCGGGCGCGGTTGCCTTTCTTGCAGAACTGCCTGCGATTTAAGGCAATTTTTCTACGTTTTCGTTTTCGGTAGATAAGACAAGGTGGTGTTCGAGAAAGGCAAACGGGGCAACTTGGAATACGTATTCAAGGTTTGCTTCGAAGAACAGCAAGCTGTTTGTTTCGCAGGTTACGTGGTGTTTGGATTAAAGAACGGCTGATACATATCAATACAAATCCAGCTTTCTGTACAAGCCATTTGTAAATCATTTTCGGTATAAAATCGGGTGGGGTAGAATTGGATGTGGCGCGAATTGTAATATGTAAGGTGGAATGCTGCATTGTAAGTAAAAGAGGACAAATGAATTTTTCAGTTCGCTTGACAGCGTACTAGAAGGCGGCGCCGCAGGCAACGCCGAGCTGCGGCGCGAGCGGAGCTAGCGGAGCAGCAAGCATGCAAGAATTTTGCGTAACCGTTCCCGCTTTTGGAAAAGAGTTAAAAGCGAAGAAGAAAACATAACGAAATGCTTCTGTTCTTATTTAATTAACTGTGTGGATGTGTTCTTTGGTCAAAGACACAAAGCAATAGTAAAAAAGGAGCATCGATAGCAAGGGGAGCAATAGCAGCGATAGCATTACTCTGTCCGTGTGTTCGGATTGTTAAAATGGGATGCAAAGGGCACCAGTGGTGGTAATTTTCAAATTGGGCTTTCAGTATAGGTAAACTGTTATCGGATAGTAACGACCCTACACCTTGAAAAAGCAAAATGATAAAAAGGAAAGGCTTTTTTCCTTATGTTCTTACTCTACAGACTGTACATCTTAAAATCGCGCAGATGAAAGGAAGGGAAGAGAGTCAACTTCTACTAAATTACAGAGTCCCTATGCGGTCCCTAACTCTAAATGATTGGATAACTGATCTGGAACTTAATTAATAGACAGGAAACTAATGCAAAATGCTCTCCTATTTGGGCGTAAAATTTCGCATTATTTTCAAGTTTAAGGAAGTCGGTACAGTACCAAATTCAAAATGAGCGCTTTCGCGCACTCCCAAATAAAATTTTGTTTTGGTTTTGACGTTTTAGCCAGAAGATTTACATACTGGCGTGAAACCGTTTAGGCAACATCCGCTTCGGGAAAGTTTGTTGAAAATTCTAGAAAGGTTAAATGCGTTCAGGTGTATAGCGTCTCATTATGGACTGATCCTCAGATTTTATGTAAATGCACATTACCATGAAGATCGTTTTACACCGATCCAGACTTCCACGATTTTTTTCAGATTTTGAAATGAACTTTAAAATTTTTGAAATTCATTTTAAAATTTGAAAACATGCTAAAACAGTGGATCCGTGTCAAAACGATCTTCATGGTTATGTATTTACATGCAAAGTTCGAAAGGATCGGTCCATAATGAGACTTTGGTACACCTGAATGCATTCAACCTTTTGGAATTTTCAAGCCATAACTCCCGAAGCGGATGTTGCGCGCACAAACGGTTTTCACGCCAGTGTATACAAATCTTCTGGCTACAGATGCCATAAACCGAAACAAAAAAAGTGTTTGGGAGTGCGAAAAGCTTTTCGTGTGTACACGAATTTGTTACCATGTACCGCCGACACTTCCCTTAAGATCATCCTGCAGAATTAAAGCGAAAGTCAAGTTTTCCCTTAAGATCATCCTGCAGAATTAAAGCGAAAGTCAAGTTTTCCAGTAGACATTATCGTCATTTGTGGACTTTGGTATAATATTGTCGAATATAACGTTTCGTCGATGAAACCTATATGGTAACTGCAGGCAGCAGTCACTAATTTAATTTAATTTAATTTTTGCACTAGGTTATGATTTGTCCATCGCATAATAATTATTCCGCGCAATTTGCGCGGGGTCAGCTAGTTAACTGATAACTGTTATAACTGTTCAATTTTGGTAACGTCCGCACACAATCTGGGATTAAACACAATCCGAGGCAGCGGACTCGTCATCAGTAGAAAAGGAAAAACATCAAACGAGAAACAGGGGAAAAAATTATAAGTATTATTCACATTTCTATAAGCGCCACGTGTTGAGCGCGATATATCTTTTTTTACGACAAAACAGACTTCTAATCGACACGATCTAAAGCTGATGTAAACCTCCTAAGACTCTGGTAAGCTTCAGCCGGAATCTTCCGTTCCATTAGATATGGCAGCCGGTATGAATTTTAACTGTGGCCATGCACCATACTTTCTCAGTCTCAGTACGAGACAGTCTCGCTGTATCGCGTCGCATTTTACCTTTGTTTTTGCCGCCGTAAACACATTTACCATCCCAATTTACTGTAGCCTTTACTGTCAATTGACCGTTAAAATATAAATCGGCGTCGACACTTTGCCGTGCAGTTTGTTTATGCTGTTGAACTTCCTTCCTTTCGAATTTGACTATGTTTAAAATACAGATACAGTACTCTTTGTTTCTCATGCAAATTGTTGTTCCGATTTGGTGAGAATGTTTTGCAGTGTTATTCTATCAGTAGACACGATTGTCATTTCTTGATCTAGGTCTCCAACCCTGATACAAATAACGGTACGCAGTACGTGGCGGAATCGCCGTACTGTGGCTGCAGAAGTAAAATTCAACGGGTCACTGCCGATAACTTCAACACTTGGAAATTTAGAATGATCAAGAGTTTCCGGAGTCCATACAGGCAGTTTTTCAAACTGCGATTTTATCGTTTTAACGCGAAGTGGCTAGCGAATTTTCAAAATAATTCAAAAATTACCTTAGCTCATCTTACAGAGCTTTTTTTTATACTACATAACGCGATAATTGTAATGAGTATATCTTTTTTCGTTAACACGCAAAAAATTAAAGTTGTACTAGTGGTAGAGGGGGGCACGTGGGTGAACCGCAAAATAATGGGTTGCGCCGCACTTATTGTGAGTGATGGCATATTCCTTCAATCGCCCCCGACATCAGTGGTTGGCATTGAACTTTAGTAATCGCAATCAGGTGCGATCAAAATCTGCAACTGCCCCATCCAGCTTTGTTTTTTTTCAACAAAACTTCATTTTAAACGCTCAGAAGCTTCACTTATTACACAGCATCAACTGACTCATGCGGCCTAATCACAGAGAACATTTGATCTAAATTTGCTCCCATCGGTGCCGTTCCCAGGATAGATGCCGCATTGCCTCGTTGGATTTCGATGCTGATCCGCTGGCGCAGGAATCCAGCTTTGAGCTTGTTGACAAGAAAGAGGTACAAAAGACCATAAACGCAAATCTGCCGTCTGACAGGCAGGCAGCCATATAATATGGCTGCCTGCCTGTTCTGCGTTAACTCATGTGCTTTTGTGCGGCAGCCAGCACCTCTCGGTACCGGCACCAAAGCCGTGAAAGAGGTGTACAGTACTTTGCAAGCTAACAGTGAACAAAACGTAAAAAAACTTTGAAAATCAGCTGTGAATACATTTGTCTGCCAAAATTACGAATAAAATCGCATTAAATAAAGCACCACAGCCTGAGCTTATTATACGGACAGAATCTCTTTTAGGGTTTTGTTCGGCAGATATGGTCAGAACTATCCAGGGTAGAGTGTCCAAGCACTTCTTTGGCACCCCGATTTTTTTTCTTTTTCTGTTTTTTATCAATCAAAATTCTGTCCGTATAATAAGTTTCTAATACTTCACTCTATAAAATAGCCGTTTCAGAATATTTTTTTTCACATCTGTACTCTGTAAAAATCGACTTCAAATTTTTCACTTTAAAAGCTAATTTCTCAGCAACAACAAATGCGTTACCATTATTGAACCCATTAAGGTACAAAAACCATTTCTTTATGTGTCATATGCTACGGTTTTGTTTAAAAGTGTAGCGCGTCAACGGTATGCCCGTTTTCGCAGAAGGACCGAGTTGCTAGCCACTTCGCGTTAATTCACAATGTCGAACACGCATTTTCTTTTTGGATAATGAACAACCGGCGTTTTTTCGCTGCTCAAACTCTGAGGAATGCTTTTGGCTGACGCATTTATGAAGAAATTTAATAGTAAAGCAGGAAGCCAGGAAGCCTGTCTACTTATCCGCCATCCGATCATGTTTCACAAGCCATCCTGGACTCTGGCGTTATCGCAAAGTCCAGGACAGAAGGATTGTGTATAAATAAAGACACTTTGTGATGAAACGCTACTCCGGTTTACG